CTCCCCCTTCTTGTGTATTGCCCCCTTCCATAGCACCCAAACTATCCTGTGTCTATTATACCCTGCCTCATGCACAACCTTCCCCTCCATCCCCTCACCCCACTCCTCACATTCCAGTAACCAGCAAAGGATCCAGCCCTCCCTTTAGTATGGGTTGTTTTTCTTAATCTTTTACAGTAGTGGTCCTATGCAGTGTTTCTCCTTTTGTGACTAATTTCACTCAACATAATGCCCTCAAGGCTCATCCATGTTATGTGGTGGCTTGCAGCTTCCTTGTTATTCTTCAAGGTAGCATAATATTCCATTGTGTGTTTGTACCACAGTTTGTTTATCCATTCTTCAGTTGATGAGTACTTCAGCTCTCTCCATCTTTTTGCTATTGTAAATAGTGCTGCTATGCACATTGGTGTGCATATATCTACTTGTGTTATGGCTCGTATTTCTTGTGGGTAAATACCAAGTAGAGGAATTGCTGGACCATAATGTATTTCTTAAGGACTAAGGTACGCCTGACCCAAGCCATGGTATTTTCAATAACCTCCCTCATATGGATGTGAAAGCTGGACAGTGAATAAGGAAGACTGTAGAAGAATTGACGCCTTTGAGTTGTGGTGTTGGAGGAGAATACTAAAAGTGCCATGGACTGCCAAAAGAACCAATAGATCTATTTTGGAAGAAGTGCAGCCAGAGAGCTCCTTGGAGGCCAGGATGGCTAAGCTTCGTCTCTCATACTTTGGACATATTGTCAGGAGAGAACAGTTGCTGGAGAAGGATGTCATGCTTGGTAAGGTGGAGGGTCAGAAAAAAAGAGGAAGACCCCCAACGAGATGGATCAGTCAGGAGGCATCACTGATGGTGTCAAGTGTGACAGCAGTAGTGAGGTTGGCCCAGGATCGGACATTGTTTCGTTCTGCTGTGCATGGGGTCGCTATGAGTTGGTTCCGACTTGATGGCACCTGACAACAACAACAACAATGTATTTCTATTTCCAACCTTCTGATGAAGCACCATATTGCTTTCCAGAGAGATTGGACCATTTTGCAATCCCACCAACAATGCAGGAGCATCCCAGTCTCTCCACATCCTCGCCAGCATTTATTGTCCTCTACTTTTTTGATCTTTGCTGTTATTACTGGTGTGAGATGATATCTCATTGTTGTTTTGATTTGCATCTCTCTAATGGCAAGTGAAGGAGCTCTGATAGTGTAGTGGTAATGAATCAGGCTGTGAACCAAAAGGTCAGCAGTTCAAAACTACCAGCTGTTCCGTGGGAGAAAGATGAGGCTTTCTGCTCCCGTAAAGATTTACAGCCTCCGAAACCCTGTATAGGGTCACTATGAGTTGGAACCGACTCCATGGCACATAACAAAAACAACAGCAACAATGGCTAGTGATCATGAACATTTCTTCATATGTCTGTTGGCTACCTAGATGTCCTCCTTGGTGAAGTCTCTGTTCATGTCCTGTGCCCATTTTTTAATTGGGTTATTTGTCTTTTTCTTGTAGAGGTGTTTTAGCTTCCTATATATTTTAGAAAAGAGTCCCTTGTCTGATGTATCATTGCATAAGATTTTTTTCCCATTCTGTGGGTTCCCTTTTTACTCTTCTGGTGAAGTCTTTTGATGCACTTAAGTTTTTAATTTTTAGTATGCCGCAATCATCTATTTTGTCTACTTTTGTTTGTGTAGTTTTTAAAATGTTTGGTAGTCTGTTTATTCCCTGAATTAGTGCCCCCACATTTGTCCCTATTTTTTTCATTGATTGCCTTTATAATTCTATGATTCACATTTAGGTCTTTAATCCATGCTGAGTTGGTTCTTGTATAAGGCGTGAAACAAGGTGAAGGTCTTTTGCATATCGCTTTCCAGTTCTGCCAGCACCATCTGTTGAAGAGACTATCACCTCCCAATGCGATATATTTAGGTACTTTGTCAAAAATCAGTTGGCTGCATGTGGATGGGTTAATTTCTGGATTCTCGATTCTGTTCCACTGATGAATGTATCTTTCATTGTACCAGTACCAAGCTGTTTTGACCACTGTAACCATGTAATAAATTTTGAAGTTGGGGAGTGAGAAGTTTCCAATCTTATTCTTCTTCTTAAGCAGTGCTTTGCTTATCCTGGGTCTCTTTCCTTCCCATGTAAAGTTTGTATTGTCTTTTCCATCTCTTTGAAGAATGTCGTTGGAAACTGGACTGGGATTGCATTATACGTGTAAATTGCATTGGGCAGTATTGACATTTTCACAATGTTAAGTCTTCCTATCTAGGAGCATGGTACAGTCTTCCATTTTTGTAGGTCTCTTTTGGTTTCTTGTAGTAGTGTTTTGTAGTTTTCTTTGTATAAGTCCTTTGTTTCTCTGGTTACATTTATTCCTAGGTATTTCATCCTTTGGGTGGCTGTTGTAAATGGTATTGCTTTCCTAATGTCCTTTTCTACACTGTCGTTTTTGGTATAGAGAAATCCAACTGATTTTTGTATGTTGATCTTATATCCTGCCACTTTGCTGAATCTTCCAATGAGGTCTACTAGCTTTTTTTTTACTGAGTCTTTGGGGTTTTCTACGTATAGGATCATATTGTCTGTAAATAGAGTTTTACTTCCTTTTTGCCTATTTGGATGCCTTTAATTTCCCTGTCTTGCTGTACAGCTCTTGCTAAGAGTTCGAGCACAATATTGAATAGGAGTGGTGACAAAGGGCATCTTTGTCTGGTTCCTGTTCGCAGAGCAAAGGCTTTCAGTTTCTCTCCATTGAGAGTAATGTGGTCTGTTGGTTTTGTATATATGCTCTTTATTATGTTGAGGAATTTCCCTTCAATTCCTACTTTGTTGAGTGTTTTTATCGAGAATGGATGTTGGATTTTGTCAAATGCCTTTTCTGCATCAATTGATATGATCGTGTGGTTCTTTTCTTTTTTCTTATTTATGTGGTGGATTACATTGACTGTTTTCTAATGTTGAACCATCCTTGCATCCCTGATATGAATCCCACTTGATTATGATGTATTATCTTCTTGATGTGTTGCTGGATTCTG